AATCTGCACCATCTCTATTAATTATGAGGTCAAGAACAGAATTACTCAGTTTTGGCTTGCTCCCAGCTCCCCTATTCTGGTCTCTTTGCCAAAACAACTTGTCTTGCCTCCTTCCAGCCATTTTTCAAGTGCTATGGAAGCTGGTTGTCTTCTCATCAACCTGCTCTGGGTTGGATGACACCTGCCAACAGATGCAAAGAGCCTCCCCTTTTGATGCAGAGATGCCAGTATGTCTCTCTGTGCCAGGAAATGTGTTCAAGGTCTGAGTTAGCAGGTCACTAGCCTCATCTAGAGATTTTTTTAAATATCCTTCACTGAGAATCAAAGGGAATCACATGAACCCCATAGGATCAGCATATTCATGCTTATGAAAAAATGAAACATTCTCTTACCAAACAATGGCATGAATTTTGTTTTTGAAAACTTGGTGAACAGACAAGTAGTTTCAGTACTTATTTAGCTAACTCTTTCCTTCCTTATATCCATCCATAGCATACATTCATATCCATAGCTTATGGTTACTCCTGTTCTGCTTTGAATGTGTGTCCTGATTTCCTTCAGGCAGTTCATTTTTCAATTTAACTGTGGCCACTATCTTTTTTTTTTCTTTCAGCCTTTAACTATTGCCCACTTTGGCTATAATATCTACTGTACTTATCCTATCAGCTTAAAGTAACAGAGTAAAGAAACTCCAACCCCCATGGCCTCCAGTGAGACACTGTGGCACAGTACATGCACACAGAGACTTAAGACCCATTCTTTCCCAATACTGCTAGTATGATCTTGGTCAAGTCTCTCAACTTTGCCAAGCTCAAATAGCTGGCAAAAGAGAGTAAGTCCAAACTTACTAGGTTGCTGTGCAGATTGAATGAAGTGAATGTTTCAATCCCCGTGGTTGTAAAAAGTGTCAGGTAAATACTGGCTGTAGTGGGGCATGCTGGTTTCACAAAGGTGAGACAGATGTGGTCATGAACTCCTGATCCGACCCTCCTCATAAATCCTACAGTCACTAATGGTTTGAGATGTGTGCCTTCCTTCCTTTAATTCCCTCCAGAGTGTGGAAAGATACCATCTCTGGTTTAACTTCTTACTTGTGCTCCAGTTCATCACATCTATGGAAAAAGAAAACGGTTTTGCTAAGAGTAGGCTCTGAATCTGAGGCTGAAATCTGTGACAATCCAGACATTGGAAATGATTCTACTTATACAAAAAATATGTCACTCTTTGCTCAAACATCTAGACCTAGTGTGGAATTTATTTCCTGCAGCAGTAAAGTGGATAATTTATGCTTTCCTATTTTTGTTTTTATTAAAGTTACACATGCAAAAACTTAAAGAGGCAACCAGTTGTTGAAGGCTTATTACAGAAAACAGCCATTATCCAGTCCCACCAGGCCAATTCCTACTCTTCTGAGGCAACTACTTCCTACTAATTTGGCTGATTCAAATATTTGCCATACAGTTGCTAAATGACATGCTTAAATGGCAACTATTTGATTTTTCTGTTGCAGACATTTTCCATTGATTTCATAGTATAGACAGGAAGATTTGGGCCCCTTTTAACACCCAGTCAATACCAACTGTCCTCAAATAGTTATATCGAGTTTGGTTCGATGATACTACTTAATTATGACTTCTTATGACTATGTGACCACTCTTCATAGCTGAGCCATTAATATATAATAATTCATTTTCTTTGAGGCACAGTTCTGTGTTTTTCTAGTGGTTTATACTTGCTTTATTTTTTGAGACAGGGTCTTGCTATATATCCCAGGCTGGCCTCAAACTTGCAACTTGCCCACCTTAGTCTCTCACTTACTGGGATTACAAGTGTGTACTATCACATCATAATTGATGATTTTGTTGTTTGGGGGTCTTTCCTTGCTTGCTTTCTTAGTTTTCTGTGTTCAGTTTTTTCTGTGTTCAGTTTCTAGAGTTCTCTAACCTTCTCTCTGTAGGTTTCACGTTATCTGATATTCCATCAGTTTTCTCCTTTTGGTATCTATTTGTCTGTAGTCTTCTGATCTCGTCCAGTCTGACAAAGGTGCCATCTAAACTGAAGTTTTATTTTGGAATCTCCTTTTACCTTCTGTCTATGGTTTCCCTTCACCATCATGCTAAAAATTTCTTTTAATTATTATTATTGACTCTATTTGCTAAATATTATGGTTTATTGCCACATAATTTTATATAACAAGTAGTTTTCTCTCTTATTTTGATGGAATATATCCTTCAATAGCTTTTTCAGGAAGGGTATCTAGGAAGTAAAATTTTAAGACAACTAAACTTACATTTGTTCTTTTCTCACTTTTTAATTAATTGGTTGGATGGGCATAGAATTCCAGGTTGAAGTCATTGACCATTTCCTTCTAGCTTCTAATATCTTTGTTTAAAAATTCTGGTTTTGATGCTTTGTACATAAACTTTGTACATAAACTTGTTTCCCTCTCTCTCTCTCTCTCTCTCTCTCTGTGTGTGTGTGTGTGTGTGTGTGTGTGTGTGTGTGTGTTTCTCAGTAGTCTGAAAATTCATGATTAGTATCTTACATACATCTTTTTTGTTGTCATTATTCATTGTGGCAGACACTCAGAGGGGGCCTCTTTGAATCTGAAAATGCAGAAGTCCTTAACTTCTGCCAGTTGTTCTTTAACTATTTAATTATTTCCTCCTCTCTGCTTTCTCCTGTTCTTTGACTGCTGGGTTGCTTGCTTTCTATTAAGGTGAGGGAGGGGAAATGGTTGGGCTGCTTGTCATTCAGAAGGAAGTTTGGGAATTGACTTCTTAACAGCCTTATACTTGTCCTGTCTTCAGACCTATCTTTAGCCCCACTTTCAGAACTTTTCCCCCAAACCAATGAGTTACCAGTTATGGTGCTATTTTCCAGCTTCCCAAAGCTTATTGCTTTGATCATCTCTTCTATTCTTTTTACTTGTAGGTTTATGTCGTTTTTAAAAATCCCTTTATCGTCATCTCATTACAGTATAATAAGAGCAAAGGTAATAGTATGTGTTCAATATGCTGTGTTCAACCAGAAGCCCAAGTGATTTGTTAAAAGAAATTCAAAATTGATATTTGCCTCCTTTGTAAGTTCATTTGCCTGATTATATAATTCAAATACATATTCAAGACCTTTTATGATCTGCTGGAAAATGAACAATTTAGTCCAATTTAGTCTACTCTGGAGATGGTTGAGTGATAACCACAGGTTCTAAGAGTTTACAATGCCAGGACAGAATGATGAAAGGGTAAACAATACTTTATTTTTGTTCAACAGTGATCTCCATGGAGTCCTCTTCTGGACAGTCCTGTCATCAGTGACTTATATCAACAAATACAAAACCTAATGAGCCAATATTAGCAACATAAAATAACTAGGTGTCAATACAACAAGTGAAAGAATGTAGTAATGGAAAGATACTGTCCTCATTATTCATTTATGGTTTTGTTTAAGTCATATATTTCCTATTATTTGAATGCAGAAAGTCTTCTCCGGTTTGACTTTGCCTGTTTTGTTTTCTGTTGTTTTGGGTTTTTTGGGGGGAGGGTGGGGATTGTTAATTCTATTGTTTGAACTCAGGGCCTTGCATTTGCCAGGCAGATGCTCTACCACTTGAACCACTCTGTCAGCTTATTCCTGGTCTTTATAGATGAAACAGCAATCAAGAACAATGCAAACACAAAAGACCACCTTATCATTGGGATTCCTTTTTCCTGTTGTTCTTGGTGTAGCATGTGATTGTCATTGACCTGTCTGGGAGTGTTGACATTTGCTGTGTTCTTTTTCACTTACTAGGTCAAGGACAAATGTCCTGTGGCCATGGGGTAGTTGACACTCTTCCAGGGATGGGAAAGGGAGGGAGTTTGAGTAACAACCAGGTGACTGCCTTCTGACAATGGCTCTGGAAACCTTCCCAAACATCTTTGTAAAGATGTTTTGAGTGACAAAGTGGACCTAAGTGTCCCTTGAAAAGAGATTTTTAAGGATTTACCAAGAAGAAATGACTTTCCCTCCTGAACAGGGGTCTCACCTGACATCCTCACCTCCTCACAATGCCCATCCCTGGGTCTACTGCCTTCCTTATGGTACCCAGAGCCAGTGCTCCTTCCCCTATAGCCATTGCTGCCATGTGCCTGTTGTCCTAGTGTCAGCAAAGCTAGCATCTCTTTAAGGGGCCATGTTCCAAGCGCTAAGAATAATACTTTCTCCCAATCACCAGGCAGATCAATTTTTTTTTAATTTTAATTAATCAGGAGTGAAATGCACATCCAGGCTTATGATATAAATGAGGCATGAGGGCCATGAGGCTCGTCTGTGTCCCTTCTGAAGGGAGCAGCTGCCCAACTCAGGTGCTCCTTCCACAGGGACATAGACACTGCAGAAGATGTTAGAATCATTGGCAAAGGCTTGGGTTAAGTCTGCACCTCTCGTCTCCCTGACATTGGGGATGCTAAGGCAGACACCTCCTGGAAGACATGAGAGACCTCTGATGGGCACCTTTTTACTCATTTGGGCACTTTTTACCTTTGACCTTACTGTACCTTCCTCAGACTGCCCAGCAGCCTGGGCTACACAACCTTCCCTCTCTCCTTCCCAGGGTCATGGTGGGGCAGATGCTGCTGCCAGCTTCCTTTGTCCCTCCCGTTTTCTGTAACCGGCCATTTACTCCTAACCCAACTGCTACAGTTTAATCCTATCTTGGCATCTACCTCTAAAACAATCCAGACTAATCCGCCGAAGACCTTCAATAAATTCTTATTGACTGACAGATTGATTGGGTCCCACACAATGAAGATATGTGTGAGACTGTGTCTCTGGTTTGTCACTGACCAGAGGAAGATGGATCACTCAGCTTAAGCAGAAAGAGCAAATTCACCCTTCCTCTACCTTTTCATTCTGTTCAGGTCCTCAAGAAGGACAAGAACCACAAAAGTCATACAGTCTCATTTGCATAATAATCTGACAGCCCGTTTCTTGTCCTCTTTTTCTCTCTTTTCCTTTAGGTTGTGGCTCTTTCCTCCTGGTGCCTATTGAGGGATTCGATCTACTACACACTGTCTGTGGTCGCACTCATCGTGGTAAGTTGCTCTTACTGTTGCAGTCCTCACCATCATAGTTCTCAGCACAGAGCAAAGCACAGCAAATCCACATGGACACTGTTGGTGAAGACCAAGTGCATGTCTATGTATGGAGACAGCTCTGCTTCCTGTTACTTTGCTCACCAGCACCCCTGACTGATCACTGAGTCCTCACATCAGGAGTTTTGACTTAGGTTATCTGGGTACATGACAGTCCCCTGTCACTGTTTCGGTGAACCTTTGTTCTGACTTATCTCATTGCTCTTCTTGGACTCCTTTCTCGTTTGGAGTCCCCCGTTTTTCTTCTTGGAGTCCCCCACTTTGGAACTTACTTATTCCCATTGTCAGTCTGTGAACTCCCAGGATGCCTGCTTCCTCTCAACACACACAGTTCCCCTTCCCATGACCACCTTTGTGCCAATACCCCTCACCTCCCTGAAGGCAAGTTGTGAACAAACAACTCCATGCTAGACATCTTCCTGCCCCAAACTCAACATGTCTCTGAACTTTTAATGTGTACCCTAAGATTGGACCTTCCTCCTATAATTCAGTCCCCATTTCTATCCTGACCACCCAGCCTGGAAAAATGATATTAACTTGACCTTCTCCTCCAAACTCTCACTTTATACATTTGGCTTAATTTTCCTGTGGATTTACATTTCATAGAAATCTCCTCAGCATGTCCCCCCATAGTCCAGATCTCTATATCCGTGGTGTAAACTGTGTTGCAATGTGGGACTATCACTGCCACCTACTCCCTTCCCTCTCTACCCCATTCAGTCCTCAGAACCATCCAAGTCTCTACCAAGAATACCTGCTTTCCTCTTGTTTAGCTGATCAGTAGCACATGTTGGGGGGAAAAAACCAAACTCCCTAGCTTGGTAAGCTGAACCATGTGGGAAGAGATGATGGTAAATTAGAAACAACATGAAATAGAAGTTGGGAGATCTGAGTCCTAATTCTGGAACCCCCATGTGATGGTTAATTTTATGTATCAACTTGACTGGACCAAGGGAGGCCCAGTTAGCTGGTGAAATATTATTTCTATGTGTGTCTATGCTGTTTCTGGAAGAGATTAGCATTTGAATCAGTAGAATGAGTAAAGACAATCACTCTCACCAATGTGTGTGGGTATCACTCGATTCCCTAAAGACCCAAATAAAACAGAAAGTCAGAGAAAGGGTGAATTTCCTCTTTCTGCTTAAGCTGGGTCATCATCTTCCATTACCCTCAGACATTGGCACTCCTGGTTCTTGGGCCTTCTGACTTCAGCTGGGACTTACAGCATTGGCTCCTTGGTTGTCAGACCTTTGAGCTCAGACTGAAACTACACTTTGGCTTTTGTAGACGGCAGATCTTGGAACTTCTCAACCTCCATAATAATGTGAGCTAATACTTCATAATCTAATGTACATATGTATGTATGTGTGTATGCATATAAATATATATCTGCTATTGGTTCTGTATGTCTGGACAACCACAAGTAATATACCTTGCTAGCTCTAATAATCTTGAAGAATTCAATCTCTCTGAGTTTTAATTTTCTTACCTATAAGACAGGAATAGATCCACTAATGAATGTAGTGACCTATTTCATAAAGCACTCACCTGTAGATGAATTTATTGTAACTTTCTGTGCCTATAAGGTAAACATTGTTGTTTGATATAAGATTTTCCACAAGAAACAAGGTAGGTACTTCAGTTTCTGACCTTCAGAATCTTGGGTTTATAAATCATCACAATGTATGTCCTAGAAATTAATTACATGTTCTAAAGCTTGTCCTCCAGAGCTCCCAAGTTAAAGTAGGAATAATTAGGAGGACCAAGACCCATCCCAAGAGGAGAAGAGGAGGAGAAGGGCTCAGTATGCCATATTGGAGCTGAAGACTTGCTTCATCTTTTGAAGTCCTGGTTAATAGACCTAAGGACATGTGAACTCTGTCTTCTTATTCTCAGCTGTTACTGTGGAAAGGGTCTGCTCATCTGAAACCCAGAGTCTCTCCTCTTCACTTCAACGCATATTTCCCAAACACTCTTTCTAGTGAGCTTTGTGCTGCTGGTCATGTGTACTCTGCTTCCCTACCTTTTTAGGGTATTTTAGCATGTTGTTTGGAAACTGTGTTCTTGAAGAGACATGGGTTGGGATAGTTGTTTCATGTAAATGAATGCAACTATCTACTTCACTGAATTCCAGAAAGGGATGACTATGCTCACAAAGACAAGGTGACAAAATGGAATGGAGAAGGCCAAGATCCCCAAGGAACACAGACATAGCAACATCCACTCCCAAGAGCAATTTTGCTGGTGTCAGCTCTCTTCCGTTTTCAACATAGGCACCTCCTGGAGTATGGTGTGAAATACCTTGTTTTCAGCCCAATTTATCTGGACCTGTCCAAGATAAAATAAATTTAATTGTTACTAATGATGTGTGAAGAAGTAAAGAGGTTTGGCTTCTTTGGGTCCCAGGTGACACTCCTCTGAGCCTGATCTTTGGGCCAGGCAACAAACTGCCCTTGGGGTATGGTGCATAAACCAGAGAACTGAGACAGCCAATGTGCAGGCTGCCAGAGAAGCTCTGTATTTCCTTCAGACAGCATCAAACTACAAAATCAAATGACTCTTTGCCATCACCTAAAGATTTGGATGTATACTTCAGACAAGTTTTCAAAGCTAGAGTTTTGTGGTTTGGGGGAAATGGAATGGAAAAGAAAAGCTCTGAGGCCTCAAGGCTGGATCTTGGTTCTTTTTACTTTAGCTGAGGTTTAACTGAGGTTCCCCAGCTTCAGTGCACATTGGAAACAAGCAGCGTGCTTACTGAAAATGCAGAAACCAGAGACTTTTCCCTTCACAGACTCTGAGGTAAAACCCAGGAAACTGCATTTTAGCCATCATCTTCCACTCCTGGGGGATTTGATACCAGATGTCCCATGCTGTGTTTTGAGAAACATCACTTTGCCCATTGTTGGAAACCCTGTCTCAGGGTATTCATCTGTGCCATGTTAGTGGTCATTTCCAGAGGCAGTTTTTGAGATTCCCAAAGAATCTCAAAAGAACTGTGGCAGCCTAACTGTTTTTAGTTTGTCTGGATCTCTGATTTCTGTTATTCTTCCTGGATCATTGATTTTTGGGAAGTGGTGACCATGCTCCCTGGGTCATTTTTACATGAGGCTTAAAACTGAATCAAGAATAAAACAGAATCTCATATTCAGAAAGGAAGCATTTATCAAATCAACTTTCAATGTCCCCAAATCTCTTCCATGCCCCAGCCTCAAGCTGCCACTCACACTCACTCTAGCTTTTTAATCAAGGTTTCTTACTCTTCCATGTTTCCCCAAATATCATGGTAACAAAATCATTTTTATTCCAGTTTTCTTGCTGTAGTACAAGGCTTCTCCCCATAACCCTACCATGAGCACTTAAAATTCCTTATTTAAAAGCCCTCTCTCCAACCCACAAAATAATTACCAACCTCCCTAAACAATTTATTTAACTATTAGAGATTTTTTTAAATGCTCTCTCCCATTATATGGTTCTGAACTGTTCAGAAAGCACAACTGTTGTACAATAAAGAGCCCATTCATCCACAGGGCAAGTCCAGAATAAGTGGGACCAGATGCCATTTCTATGTACAACCCCATCAAGAGAATTTTCCATCATGTAGAGGAGCCCCGAGGAGGATCAGGGACCCTGGAGATCCAAAGAGCAGACAAGATGGCTTCTCAGAGATGCTGATGGCCACCGAGGGGCAGAAGGCTCCGAGCCAGCCAGAAAAGTGCTAATAGCATCATTATTGCCTGGGATCTAAAACAGCTAAGATGTAAGCAGATACAGATGGCACATGAACAGGGCAGAAACCAAAAACACAGGAGCAGGACAAGCACGTGCATTCTGCAACCAACAGAGCTAAACACTGATGATGCAGAGACACAGAGTCCATCCACTGTGGTATTTGGGTTTAACCTACATTTTTCTCTGTGCTATTTTATAGCCTGTGTTTAAGAGAAAGCAGAAAAAAATAAGAATTTATCAATGTCTAAAGAAATTATTATTTTCAAAGAATACAGTGTGTTCTTCTCATTGCCCTTCCTTCACACAAATCAAGCATCCCCTTTAGCCCTGGTGGCATTCTGTACATTGGAGCATCAGGCCTTGGAAAAGCTGGGCAGTGCCTGGAGACTCCCTCAATGACTTAAGTGTCTCTCTACAAGGAAAGTGTCAGCTTTCCTTGTGGGTTTTTTGTAGTGTTGCTCTGTGTCCATCTACCCAACTGATCCAACAGATGTCTATAAATCACTGCAGCTGTCTTGTTGCCTCTCTTCCACCCCATAAGCACTTGGACTGTGGGCATCTCAGGGCTCCCAATCCTCCCCTTTCTCCATACTCCAGCAGGACTGTCAGTTTCTTGTATTGAAATGTTACTGAAATTTATATAATTATGTAATTTACATAAATGCAAATGGACTGTTGCATCATCAGTCTGACAGCTGTCCTAAAAGAAATACTTTATTTTTACCCTTCATCTCTGCTTGAGGACAAGGAAAGCTGCAGGGGGAATGGAGAGGCCTGTGGAACAGGTTCCCCATAACATGGGCTGGTGCAGAAGTCCGATTCACAAGTGCTGTGTATCTGCAGATCAAGGGCCATGGAAACCACTGACCCCAGCTGGGACAGTCCTCAGGACACCCTGGGCACAGGCATAGCACAAGGCTAGTCTAAGCTAATGCCTCTGTTTTTGCCTTGGTGGGGGGAGGTCATTGCAATTGCCCCTGATGAAGGAATTCCATGGGAATGAAGAGAGACAGCTCAGATGGTCAACACTTCAGTAACACAGCTTTTAGGTACTATAACAAAGCACCTGAGGTAATTTTTTTGGTGGTAGTAGGATTTGAACTCAGGGCCTCACACTTGCTAGCCAGGCACTCTTCCACTTGAGCCACACCACCAGCCTTTTCACCTTTTCATGGTCCTGGAAGTTCTATTCCAAGTACAAGCAGCCCCAT